TTTGTCCTTCCGGGAGCTGCTGCTGGAGGTGGTGCTCCGAGAGCATTGGAGTGAAGTCAGAAGCCACAGGGGCAGGAGTACCTGCCAGGGAGCTAATGCCAGTGAGGGCTCCCTGAGCAGTGGGCAGGGCTACCTGGCTCTGGTGCCCATGAGTGGGGGCTCCTGAGGAATCTCTAGCCTAGACACATCCATGTCCACTGGGGGACAGGAGGAAGCATGGCTGTGCCATGCTGAGCCGATGGAGATGCTCTCTGGATGTGTGTGTGTGGGGAGGCTAGGGAGAGGCTGTGTTCTTGGCAGGGACCCTGGCAGCCTGCTTCTGCTTGCCCTTACTCCAGGCACTAACCGCTAATTGCCAGGACTAGGCTATCTGTGAGCCTGGTTCCCAGAGGGGTAAAGCCTTCAGGACCCTGTTTGCTGAGGGCCCTACCCGCCTGCTCTGAGGGCCTCTGAGTGCAGGGCAGGTACAGAGCTGACCCTGATGCCAGGCTCCACTCTTGGGGCTCGTAGCCCAGAAGCATGTGAGGTCCTAGACATAGTGCTCCTGGGAGGCAAAGCTGGGTGCCCTCTGGTGGGGGCAGGCCAGAAATCTCAGGGAGCATTTTGCTTGGGAGCATCATGGAAGGCTTCATGGGAGAGGGGGTTAAGTGGTTCTGCTCCCTAGCGGAACCCTGCCTGCTGGTGTGACCCTGAGGGTGTTCCTATTCTTGGTGCCTCAGTTTCCTCATCTGTCTGCTGGGGGGAGATGAGAGTAGCCACCTTGAAGGAGTGCTCTGTAAATGGAGTCCTTGAGCTGTGAGGTTGGTGAGCTGGGCAGGGGTCTGAACAGGGTCACTCAGGTCAGCGCCTTATAACCTTCCTCCGCAGAGGCACATAGAGGCATTTTCACTTTCAGAGTTTGGCAGGTCCCTCCAGGCATTTGGCTGGCTGCCCCCCGCCCTGCATCCAAAACCCCATGCAGCCCCCTCCTCTCCACCAAGGGGAGGGATGTGGGGGCTGGGAAGGTTCTAGGGAGCGCAGGAGGTGGTGCCTGGGGCAGCCTTGGGCTGGCCTTTCCCACCATAAGGGTGCTTCCTCTCGGTCAGGGTCTCTGTCTGCGACAGGAGGCTATATTTAGGTGGCGGTGTGGGAGCCACCAGGCAGGTCGCCTGCTGGTCACCGCCCCCCTGGCAACCCACAGGCACTATAAATAGCCCCAGGCAGCAGCCATAGTAGTATAGCCAGAGCCAGCGCCTGCTGCAGGAAGGTGCCCACCAGACGAGCCCAGGCTACCGGCACTGCTGCTTGGGTGAGCCTGGGCGGGGAGACCCCTGTGCCCCCAGTTCTTCCCATGGAGCTTCTTTACCTTGTCCAGGACTCCACCTTGGCCTCCATCCCTGCCACTTCTGTAGGGTACCCTCTCTGAAGCCTGCTGATTCAAACTTTTTAACCTGAAGTGTCATCTGAGATGAGGGTGGTAGCCTCCCTGAAGCTCGGGTTCCTCTTCTGTACACTGGGGTTCAGGGTCCTGCCTGTCTCCTACACCTGAGGCTGAAGAACCCGCTGAAATAGGTGCCTGGTTTGGCTTGGCCTGCTTCCTCACTTGGGGCACCCAGCCAAATGCCTGGAGGGACCTGCCAAACACTGGAGGGACAGAGGTGGGCCTTCCTGTAAAGGGTCTTGAGAAGGCTGCTCTGGCTCTAGCAAAGGGGTCCATGCCCGCTGGCACCAGTCTGGGTCAGGATCCCAGGAACAAAGCTAAAGGGGTGGCAGCCAGAGGGCCTGAAAGAAGGAGGGGCTGTAGTTCCCAGCAGGGCTCATGTGGCAGGGTGGGGTGGAGTGGGGCTGGTAGCAGCAGAGAGGCTGAAACAATACTGGTCTCCTGACTAATTGCGGTGGGCTGGCCTGTACCCATTTCACAGATGGGGAGCCTGAGGCCTAGTCCTCAGTGAGTGTTCACTGCCCATCCCTGGTGAACCTGCCTCTGCCCAGACCTGGAGCTGATGGGCATTGGGAGGTGGTGAGATAGGCCTTGGCTGCCCACAGTGGGACCGCAGGTCTTGGGTTAGCCCTGCCTGGGGGCTGTGCAAGGTTCCACCAGGCTGGAGCCCCCCTTTCACCCTTGCGCTCTGGGCCCTACTCAGTGAGCTCACTGAGAGTGGTGTGGGTGTGGAGGGGGCTTCTTCCTAGCTACCAGGCAAAGTTCGGCCATGTGGGGCACTAGGATAGGATATAACTGCTTTGCTCTTACCTGGGGGTGGGGGACCCCAGACTGCAGAGACAAATGGGATGTGTAACAAGGCTCTAGCCCACCTGGTCCAATTTCTATCTAGACCCCTGATCCCCTTCTTCCAGCCTGAGATCTGACTGCTGAACACAGCCCAGGCTAAGCCACGATCTCTGGGGATGCATGACATCCTGAGGTCTTAGGTAGGCAGTAGTGTGGGGTGTGGATCCTCAGTCCTGAGGCCTTTTCCAGGAGTGCTGGACAGCAGAGCCAGGCATGATGTCCACAAGGTCTCCCCAGGTCCCCAGGTTAAGGGAGAGCTCCCCTGCCCCCCATGCTGTGGCTTCTTTGGCTTCTTTTCCTTCTTCATTCCTGTAAACATGAGCTCAGCTCATGCACTTGAGCACACACACACACACACACAAACACTTGCGCACACACACGTGTGCGCACTTAGGGACATTCTGCCTTCCCAGGAGGGACCAGCTGTTTGTGTGCTGTGAGGACCTGGTGGCTCCCTCACCTATACACTCACAGGCTGTGCTTGTAGGGTGGGGGCTGGCCGGATCAGGGGTAGGATTCCTTCCCCCCCTTCCTTTTACCTCCTTCTGGGGTCACTCCATCATAAGCCTCTCAGGACCATGCAAGGGACAGAGTGCCTACCCTGAGCCTGTGAGTGCTGGCTGTGGCCCAGGGTGTGGCAGACAGTCAAGGCCCCCCCCCCACCGCCACCGTCCTGTGCAGCCTCAGCCCTGGGCATGGGTCTGTGGCTCCGGCTCCTGGCTAGCAGCTGTGGCTGGCTGTTCTGAGTATGGAGTCCCAGCCTTGTGCTCCTCCTGCACCCAGGCTGCACCCAGGCTGAGGCCCTGGAGGCCCAGCCTGCCTGGCGAGCAGCTGCAGAAAGGGCACTGGAGGACAAAAGTAAGGGGAGGTAGGGAACGAAGCGCTTTGCCAGGTGGGGCCCATGAGGTGCCCCTTTCTCAGGCAGAGAGAGGGAGGAAGGGACAGTGAGCAGATGAGTGGTGGGGTGGGCCTTGGGTTGTGTCCAGTGGTTGGAGGGTCAGCGGACTTCTGGGGTGTAGCTCGGGGGCCTTGAGGTTATCTTGTCTGGGCCCTCATTGTGCAGATGGGGTAAGTGTGGTCCAGAGAGGCCAGTGACATGTCCACTGTCTGCTAGCCCTGCTGTGTATGGTAGGAAGGCTGGGCACTTCTGGGACCCACTGCCTGCGACCTTTGGAGTCATGAGACCTAGTGTCTTGTCACAGTGTGACCCCACTCCTGGCTATCTGTGGTGTCACCACCTCAGTATATACCTGGTGGCTGGCCTTTGGCTGCTGTGGTCTCTCCCTGCCTCTCTGAGCTCCGGGAGGGCAGATCCCGGCCTGTGTCTTATGTGTCTGGCCAGCTCTGTGTGTACAGCAGAGACACAGTGGCTAGGTGGACAGGATGGACATTATGTGGAAAGTGAGAGGTGACTAAGGCAGCTCATAGGCATGCCATGTGTGGGTTGGTACCACCCCCCCCCCCACACACACTGTATCCTGGCAGCACCAACTATGCCTGAGCCCCTTTCTCTGAGGAAAGGTATCTCAGACATTCCCTAGAGGCCCAGGACCCAAAGAGGAGAAGGACATTGTCCTTGGGGTAGGGTAGGGGTGTCTGCTGCCACAGGCTGCTGAGAAGGGGCCAGGCTCAGGCCCTTCAGGGGGGCTCTGTCGCCACAGATGGACCCATCATCTATGAGCTGGGGTTCAGCATGCTCCTGGGGGCATATGTCCCTGAAATCCCCTCTCCCTCTACCACGTTATGGTGGCTGTCCCTTTCCCTCAGGCCCCTGGGTTGGCCTTGGTAGGAACTGGCCTTCCTTGTGGTCCCTTGTGGGGAAGCCGAGGCCTGGGAAGGTCACTCACTCAGTGTGGTCACTGGGAGGGCAGGAGGCGGGGTTCTTAGTGACCCCTCATGTTCATTTCTTTCCTCCCTAGACGTCATTGCCTGCTGCTGACCAGCTGGGGATGTGTGGAGAGGGCCTCAGGGCCGCTCTGAGTCCTGCTGCGCCCCGTGCCACAGCCTCACCAGCTGCCAAGGGGGCCTGCGCTTCCAGCTCCCACCATCGCCCTTGCCTGCCGATGGCCCCCACTGCCCAGCCCAGGGCTGGCTCTGCTGCCTAAGTACCCTGCCACCTTCCAAGACTCTTGGGACTCGTTGTACCCTGATGGGGTAACGTGACAGAGACCCCTGCATCTCAGGCCACCTGCTGGCCACAGCCGCTGCCTGAGACCCCACCTCAAGGCTGCCAGAGTTGACTCAGTTCATTTTTCCTTTGTCCTTGGGGGTTTGGGGCCCACCCTTGAGTGAAGGGGGCTGTGTGCTGAGCCCCTGATGCAGAGAGGGTGACCCCAGTGGTGGCCCAGTGCTGGACACTGCCCTGGTGGCCGGACCCACTTGGAGATTTTTAAGTTTTCTTGGTGGTAGTTATTTTGTTTTTGCCCCTTTATAGTTGTTATCCGAGGCAGGAGTTTGGAGCTGCCTGTTTCATTTTGAGAGCCTGTTTTGTTCCTTTTCTTTTTTAAGGAGTTGGGTTTTCTTTTTTAATTACCCAAACACTGGGCAGCTTCCTCCTCCTTTCCCAAGGATCTGCACAATATTTATGTAGGGCGTGGGGGCAAGTTTTTAAAAGTCTTCTCTGTTTTGGACAAGCACAGGGATCTCATTGTGCTTGGTTTTGGGGGCTGTTGGGGCTTCTCTGGCCTGGTCCCGGCCTCCCTGTCCCCGCCCCCCCACCCCCCACCCCTGCAGGCTGGACCATGGCACGCATGAACCGGCCGGCACCAGTGGAGGTGAGCTACAAGCACATGCGTTTCCTCATCACGCACAACCCCACCAATGCCACCCTCAGCGCCTTCATCCAGGTGAGTGGGGATGGGATCAACGGGCCAGAGCTGGCAGGTGGGGTTTGCAGCCATCGACGCCGCATACTGCTCCCTGTTATGGGATCCTGAGAGGGGACATGGGATGTCCTAGGGGCTCACCTGGGTCCTCAGGGCTCCTGCACAGGGCTGGTGCATGAGCAGGAGGGACTCTATGCTGTGGGGCTGCAGGCAAGTGGTAAGGGGCAGCGGGTGGACTTTGAGGACAGCACCTTGGCTGGGGTCATCCCCAGTCTTTTGTTCGCCCTTTGGCTTCTGTGCAGAGGCTGAGCAAGGGAAGGGGCCGACTTGAGAAGTTGCTGCTTGATAGAGGACAGGTGGGTGGGGACAGGAGTACAGGCTCTGATGAGGTCTCAGGTTAGAGCAGGGTGGGCGAGGGGTTCCAGGGCACAGATCTCTTGTGTGAGGAGGGAATGGCCACTGTGCCCGGGAAAGCTAGCAACAGGGGGACCTGCTCTTTGCAATTCCAGCAGATGTGACCAGAGGTGTTAGCAGAGCCTGTGCTGGGAGCAGCATCTGAAGTGGTCTCACAGCCCCTGGGTGGAGCCTCTGGCTGTGTGCAGGGCCTACAGCTACACAAGCCTGTTCAGAGGGGTGCAGGGCTTTGCAGAGCTCCAGCCATGTCCAGGGGCACTTGTGGTCTCAGACTCTGTTGTTCCCTCTGCAACATGAGATAAGTCACCGTGGACTTGGCATAATTAAATAGGGAGATAGGCATGAGAGAGCATTGGGAACTGTAGAGAGAGAGAGACCTCCATGGAGAATGGCTGCCCCCTCTCACTACTGAGACCCTTGAGAAAATAGCAAGACTGGGGAGCACAGCACTGTGAGCCGCTAGGGGCCAGCCTCACAATGTGACTAGGATTGGGGCTAAGCAAGTGACCAGGCCAGGATTGGGGTTCACTGTGTGGCCAGGTTAGGGCTCAGAGTGTGACCAGGGTTGGGGCTCAATATGTGACTAGGATTGGGGTTCGGTGTATGACCAGGGTCAGGGCTCAGTATATGACTGGTCAGGGTTCAGTATGTGACCAGGCTTGGGGCTCAATATGTAACTAGGGTTAGGATTCAGTATGTAACCAAGGTCAGGGCTCAGTATCACAGCTCAGTGTGTGATCAGCCTTGGGGCTCAGTCCTGGCTGGTGGCTGCTGCCCTTGCTGAGGGCATAGAGGGACTCCAGTGTACCCCATGGCCTTGAGCCTGGCTTCTCCTCCCTGTATTTTCAGAATACTTGAGTTCTAGCCTCCCTGTGTCTGGTGTCCCCATCGCATGACCAGCAAGGCCCAGTAACTGATTCCTCACCACTCCCAAAATAGTAGCTGGGAGCAGGTGTGGGTGGGAATAGCCCTGCACGTGGCCTACATGGCATGGGGCTTATATATCGGCCTGGCTGTGAACTGCTGTGACCTTTTCCCTGGTAGTGTGGGGCTTCCGTCCTGCATGCAGGGCTGGCTCCTTTCTGTTGCTGTCTGAGTGGGCACCTGCCTTCCCTGTTGTAAGAGCCCTGGCAGCTGGGGCCTGTCCTAGGACACTCTGATGGGCTCCTGACTGGGCCTGCCAGGCAGGAAGGTTGCTCAGATGCAAAGCCATGGCAGGCTGGAGCAGGCTGGCCCTCTAGGGGGACTGACTCAGTTGCTTTGCCTGGAAAATGCGGCCTTGTTGATAATTTCAAGTGTCCTGAGTGCCATAGAAACCGGGGGGGGAGGGGTGTGCTGGGAGCTGTGGTTGCACCTGTCCAGCAGTGAATGCCAGTGACTATAGGTGGGAGCACTTTCCTCTCTGCTGCTGGGCCAGGGGCCAGGTGCCTGGCAGCATCAGGAAAGGCTTTTCCAACCCCACATGCCATCCTGGCCGGTCACTGAGCCTGAAGGTCCTCCTAGGTGGGTCATGCTATATCTGAGCCTTCCTTTCTGGCCCAGGAGAACATGGCTCTGCCCTAGGGGCTCCAGTCAGTGGGTCCTGACCTCTGGGTCCTGCAGACCCAGGCCAGCCTGCCTCCTCCCTCCTCTCCCTGCCAGGACCTGAAGAAATATGGGGCCACTACTGTGGTACGCGTGTGCGAAGTGACCTACGACAAAGCCCCGCTGGAGAAGGATGGCATCACTGTGGTGGTGAGGCCATATGGCACCAGGGACACTGCTGCTGTCTAGGGGACGGGGTGGAGGGACCCTCTGGTCCTGGGTGCTTCCTTGGCTTGGGCATGCCTCTGGGTTTAGGCACCCCTTTTAGCTCCTGGGGCTCAGTTGGTGTTTGCCCAATTCCCTAAGTAAACCCTGGCAGAGCTAGACCCCAGTGGGGCTGGGTGTAGGCCACTGGGCTCCTATACACCAGGCCTGCCTGAGTCTCACCTCACTCTCCTGCCTGGTGTCTGGGGGCTGGTTGCTGGGCAGCACATCTCTGGGAAGGTTCTCTGCAGAGACCATGAGGAAGGATGCTTAGGGCTGTTTCCCTGGCTCCACTGGCCCTAGGGACCCAAATCTAGGTGGAGGCTAAGGCAGGAGCCAGCCCTGTGGGGTCCACCCCAGCCTGGTGGACAGCAGTTCCCTGGTACAGGCCTCCCTCTGGGCTGGGGAGTAGAGTGAGGCCAGTCGTGTGCAGCAGGCCCTGTGCTTGAGCCTCGGTCTCTTCTACCCCGTCCCTTCCTTACTGCCTTTCATCCACGGGCCCTATTTTTGACAGGTGTTGCTGTGTTTAGTGGTCACTGCCTGGCAGCGTGGAGTGGTGGGAAGAGCTGCTGCTTTGGGGCAATTCAGGCCTGGGTGGCTCCTGCCTCTGCCCCTGCCCAGCCTTGTGGCCCCTCAGTGTGGGTGCTTAAAAGGCTGGGAGGTGGCAGCGTGTGAGCACCTCTTAGCACAGGGCCATCAGTGACCCTTCCTCCCCGCCACTGCAGCAGAAGGATTTGGGTTAGACTTTAGGCAGCCATGCAGACAGGCACCCAGCAGTTGGGGAACTGTACCAGGGAGGGGAACGAGGTGACCCCGAGGACTGCCTTTCAGTCGCAGCGGGCCCATGTGGGCTCATGCCTGATACCACATAGCACCAACTCTGGTGCAGTCCCTGGGCCTGTGTAAACTGCCTCCCTGGACTAAAGCGTCTCTGTCCTCCCCGCAGTACGGCTCACCCCAGGCTGACTTAGCGGCGCTTTGCCTGCTGTCCAGGGGTGGGTGGGATATGCATCCAATTTTCCAAAACCAAACTAATGCCTCTGCCCTGAACAACTGACTTGAAGGGCCCAGGGTTACCTGGCTCAAGTTCTGCTCCCAGAAATACGGCCTCACTCTACAGCCCTCCCTTCATTCATCTTCATGGTAACTGGCCACTTTCAGGGGCTGGAGACGCAGACAGCATGCGTCAGCCATCACGTGTGCCATCGTGGAGGACAAGAGCCCTTGGGCCTGCTGACCTCAAACCTCTCAGGCTACCATGGGCACACAGGCGGAGGGATTGTGACCCCAGAACCAGAGCTAGGCTGGTGGGGTGGAGATAGTAGGGCTTGTGAACTCCAGAGGTGGCTCTGCTCAGAAAGGGGGTGGTGGTGGTCTGGGAGGGCTTCCTGGAGGAGTCTGAGGTACTCATGGTGAAGTGCTTATGGCTGAGCTCTGCCTCCACCTAGTGGGCTTCCAGCATGCACTGCCTCTCAGAGTACCCTGTCCTTGTCCCACCCTCCCTGAGCCTCAGGCGCCCTATTTATCCCCTTAGGTGGGGATCCTCACAGGCCGCTTCTTCTACAGGACTGGCCATTTGACGATGGGGCACCCCCACCAGGCAAAGTAGTGGAGGACTGGCTGAGCCTACTGAGGGCCAAGTTCTACGAGGACCCTGGCAGCTGCGTGGCCGTGCACTGCGTGGCAGGCCTGGGACGGTGAGCTGGGGGCCGGGCTTGCTGCTGCTGGAAGCTCAGCTCAAGCCTGGGCATCTGTGGTCTCACTTTCCTGCTGTTGCGTGTGGGTCCAGAGTGTTCATCCACATGACCTTCACAGGTCAGCACCCTGTGTTCCAGGCTCCTAGGCAAATCCTTTAACGGCCTTGCGGAGAGGAAGGAAGTCCTTCCCAAGGTCCGACCCCGCTTCCTCCTACTGTGGTTGAAACTGTCCCTGTTACTTGTGCAGGACACAAAAACACCCCTGCTCAGCTAGGGCCTTGGACCCCTGCAGCAGGAAGAGCAGCAGCCTAGATTTGAAATGACCCAGGCATTGAGAGCCCCCCATTTGCAGAGGGAAGACCAGCTGGTGGGTTGCTGGTGATGTGAATCATACCCTTGTCTCAGGTGGACACCACTCACTTTATCTGTGCTCCCATGTTTACTGTTCTGCCAACAAATTTTCCGTGAGGGGCCCAAGGCACAGAGAGGTTGCCTGAACCCCCTGAGGCTGCCTGTTAGGGACAGAAGGGATCTGGGACTCGGGCCCAGGGAGTTTGACTCAGCACCAAGCCTGTGCCCTCGTGGGGAATTTTAGGGGTATAGGATATGTGGGCTCAGATGACCCCAATGTGCTGTCTTCCCTCAGGGCTCCGGTCCTCGTGGCGCTGGCCCTCATCGAGAGTGGGATGAAGTACGAGGATGCCATTCAGTTCATCCGACAGTGAGTGCCTGATGGCAGGAGGGCAGGCTGTGACGCCATACTCGGAGGGCGGGCTGTGACGCCATACTCGGAGGGCGTCCTGGCCAGCCAGGGCCTCTGCTCCCTGCATAGCCTTCTACCACCCTGCAGCTTCTGTTAGGCTGTGTTGATCAGGACAGGCTGGGTCCAGCTGCAGAAACAGGCAGCCCCAAAGCATGTTTGAACAGCCAGGAGGCAGAGGACAGTGAGGTGACTTTACAATAGTGGGTGCTGCTCCACTGAGCGTGTCCTTCCTGCCCTCACAGACTTGGCTCTGTAGGTCCCAGCTGTCCTTCCAGGGTAGGTGGACCCTGGATGCTATGCAGTCTAGCTCCTCAGCAAAAACCAAGAACCTAAAACCCTCCCAGTGTAGGGAGTGATGTAGGCTGACGTCTCCCAGAGCTGCCCAAGTCCCATTGCTCTTGCCCTACCCCAGGGGTTTTCAGGCTTCCCTCTACCCACTGCTCCTGGGAACTGGGATGCTGGGGAGTGGCAGGCACAGCAGGGCCACCTCTGCAGGCACATGGATGCTGCTCTGCCCATTGCATGTGTGTGGACATGTGTGACACACATGCTCTCATGCTGCTCCTGAGATGGCCTTGGCCGGGCACGACATCTCTTCTTTCCTGAGATAGGCTTGTCACCAGCCATGCCGCCCGCCCTGTGTGTCCATGTGAGAGGATATGCCTGCACGCTCAGGTTTCTGCATCTGCAGGGAAACCTGGGATGCACACACACTCACACATGGGCACAGGTACACACACAGATACATGCTCAGCACATGCACATACATGACACATGACAGCATACATATGAACACCCTCTCTTTCTCCCTACATGCCTCGGTGTGGCTCTGGTGGGTTGGCTCCAGGCCTTCACCATGGCCATCCCAACCCCACACCTTGCTAAGCCTCCATGGCTTCTGCTGTGTGGCTCCCTCTGCCCTGGGCTGGTTTGGCCAGGGTCAGCTAGATTAGCCAGGGCAGGTTAGGCTGTGCTACAGAAACAAATAGGCACAAACCCCAGTGACTCATGACATTGACTGGTGAGCCTGACATGGTTAGTGGGGGCTCTGCACAGGGACCCAGCTGAAGTTAGAGTCCATGGCCACTCCTGAAGTCACGGGAGGGTGGGGAGGGAGGAGCTTCCAGAAATGCTAAGCTCCCATTTGTCCTGTCACCTTGGGGTCTGTCAGGCTCCTCTGCCGTGTCCCCTCCTCCAGGAAGCTTCTCTTGTCCACCCTGGCCAGGTGCATGTGTGAAGGCAAGGTGGCAGGAATGGTGTGACCTCAGAGACCAGGTCTTTACTGTCTTGGAAGTGGAAGCAGCTCACTGCCTATGATGACCTCACTGTCCCTACTGCCCTGTGCCAGGCTTCATGCCTAGCAGTTCTAGCACCGAGATTCCATTTTATAGATGAGAAACCTGAGGCTCAGGGAGGCAGTGGGACTTGGCCAGGATGGCACAGCTGGAGAGGATTAAAGCAAGACTCTGGCTCCTGAGTTCTTTGCATAGCCCTCCCTCACTTGCAGCCTGTAGGTACCCCTCTCCCCCAATGATGGATGTGGTCAGGTCCCACCTGTGGTGCCTTCTAAGAACTCATGGCCTGGGGTTGGGGTAGTGCCCAGCTAGAGAAGCCTGGCAGCTGTATGGAGCCCAGGGGCTCAGCCTGGAGGAGGGGCCACCTAGGTGAGTTTGAAAGGCAAGCAGGGTTGAGCTGCAGGTGACCAGGGAAGGGGGGACTCTGGCAATGGGAACAGCCAGGCAAAGGCCCTGGGGAGGAGGGGCTTTGCTGCTTCCTCTGTGCTGTGAACTCCTGGGGCAGGTGAGCTGGCTGCCTGGGGCTCAGATGACCCCTATCCCTGTCCCCCTCTTCCTAGGAAGCGTCGAGGAGCTATCAACAGCAAACAGCTCACCTATCTGGAGAAATACCGGCCTAAACAGAGACTGCGGTTCAAAGACCCCCACATGCACAAAACCAAGTGCTGCGTCATGTAGCTCAGGGCCCGGCCAGGGGGTCCGTGCCCTGGATGGCCCTCACCTGGCCCTTCTTTCCTTGTACCCCTGGCGCACCTGTGTCCTGGAGTCTGATCAGCTGTGTGCCCTTCCCTCCCTGTCTCTTTTCTCCTCTGACCCCACCCTCTGTCTCTGAGGCTCTTCCCTGGACTCCTGCCAGCATCCTCCATTGCCACCCCCAACAGGTCCTCTCTCTGGCCTGTTTATTGTGGGTTGGGGTGTGATTTCTTAATCACTGGGCCAAGCCTCTTGTCCGTGGCCCCTCACCCTGACCTGGTACCAGATCCCCGGGCAGTCCCAGACACTTGAAGGCAATAAAACAGGAGCAATGGCTATGTGTGGAGTGGAGTGTGTGTGGAGTGGGGGGTGGCCCTGGGTGGGGTGGATGGCAGCCTTGGGCCGTGCGGCCACTGTCCCAGAACCCTGTTGCCCCTGTGCTGGAGCTCCCATGGCCATACCTGGTCCCTGTACCCCCAACTTCCAGGCTGAGTTGCCTGTGCCATGGTTTTGGGAGTTGGGGCATTAGAAGGTAAGGCTGGACCACCAGGCTTGCCCTCTGCAAGACAGGGGTTCACTGAGTAAGTCCCAGGGCCTTGTGTCTGGTAGGGTGGCCTTCCTGTGCTGCCCAATGAGGTGTCCTCATTTCAGCCTCAGAGGCCCAGAGAAGGGAGCTGATGGGGGTGGAATGATTTCCAGCATAGCCTCTGTCGTGGCTCAGGGTGGAGGGATGCACCATCTCACTGGCCCAGGGAGGGAGGGTGCACTGGGGCACCTGGGGCTGGGTCTGAGTCTGAGGGTGCCTGCCTGAGACTCATGTTCCTGGCTGCAGGTGTTGCTTCTCCAGAGGCTTGTTCCCTATAAACCAGGTACCCGCTGCCAGGGGTTGCTCTGCCCACAGCATGAACCCTGCAGTGGCCAGGTGGGCTGCGCCTCCCCTGGGCCCTGGGAGGGTGGCTGCAGGACACACAGGCCCTGTCTCTCTCCACCCCTGGCCTGCTGTGATCAGGCCTGGCATGGAATAGTGCTGTACACCTGCTGCCTGCCGGGCCTTGAGAGGCTGCTCACCTTGCCAGATAGGAATTAGGCCCCTGCCCATTTTCACATGAGGACACAGACCCAGAGAATCCCAGGGGCTTGTCCAGAGTCACTGTTGGCTCTGGGAATCCACTGGGTCTGGGCCTATCCAACTCTATGCTCTTGCCAAAAGATACTTTCCAGAAGGGTGGATTAACAGGAGGATGGGCCAGTTGCCCACTGCTCAGAGGCCCTGGGCAGCTGGGCAGAACCAGCAAATAGGCCTGGGGCAGACTATATCCCTGCTTGCAGCCCTGACACCTGCTGTTCCCCCACCCTCAAGCCAGGGGCTTCAAGCTAGGAGGAGCTGGTGGGAGGTGCCTGGGGAGGTCAGTGGACAAGACAGGAGAATGCGAAAAGGCAAAACCTCCCAGAAGGACAATGGGTGAGATGGCCCAGACCGATCTGTGTGGAAGGGCTGCCAACTCTACCCAGCGGTCATTTTCTCCTTCCTCAAACACGTTGGGACTCAGTAGATCTGATGCCTGTTTGGTGCAGGTTGCTGTATTTTTCAGTCTGCCATCCGAGGTTTGTGCAGGTGGCCCTGCCCCGAGAGGCTCACAGGCTAGTGATCCACCCTTGAGAGATGGGGGTGTTCCGCCTTGGGAGTGGGCATTGCAGAGGGGCCAGGGTGGATGGCCTCAGGTGGCGGGGACATGGGACCTGGGCCTGGGCCTTGAGCAGTGTGGGAGGCTGGAGAGGGCTCCAGGGAAGAAGCTGCCTCAGCTGAGGTGGGTCAGTGAGAAGGGTCAGTGTGTTCTGAGGGAGGGAAGGATGGGGTGGGCCCGTTGGGATGTCCCACTAGAGGGGTCCTGGCTAATCTGGCAGGGGTCTGGAGAAAGACACAGGCTGGGGTAAGGCCCCAGGAAGAGCTCTGTGGGGAGCATCTGTCCAGGGTTCTCTGGGCCCACAGGCAAGAGAAAGGGCTTGTCTGCCCATTTCACACGCAGGAACATTGGGACTGAGCAGGAGGAACTGGCTAAAGGTTGGGTAGGTGCCCAGGCGGCTCTCTGGGAGTTGAGGGGGAGTTTCTTTGGGACTCAGCCTTCCAGAGGTCTTACAACCCATTTTACAAATGGAACAGCTGAGGTGCAGAGAACCCAGAGCCCTGCCTCAGGCCACAAGGGCAGACCAGGCTCCATGGGAAGGATCTGTGGGCCAGCCTTCATTGGACTTAGCAGGATGAAGCAGAGTGGAGGGAGACAGTGGGCACCCTGGCTGAGGGTGCCTTTACCCCCACCACTGGCTGGCCCCTCAGTCACCGAGGGCACCTTGGTAAATGGCTCTAGGGGGAGGGAGGCTGCCCCCGCTGTGTCCTCCCAGCCCAGAGCATAGGCAGGCCTTGGCTGGGCTCAGGTTATGCTGAGTTGACCCCATGCCTGATCTTGTCCTTGACCCTGAGTCCTGCCAGTATCTCCTGGGGCTTAGCTTCATCACAGCAGAGGGGTCCACAGGTGGTGAGCAGGGAGCTGACAGGTGTAACGCAGCTTTGTCAAATCTAGATCTTTCTTTTAAATGGAAAAATGGGCAACCAAACTCTGTGTGGGTGGGTGGGGCAAGGCTGACCAACCAGGTAGGTGTGTGGGAGGAGGATGGGGGAGTACAGTTGGAAGTCACTTCTGGGATCGGGTTGACACCTTGGGAAAGAAGGAGAGCTGCCTGGCGGCAAATTCCCGGACGCCAGGCTCTGGGTCTTGCTTGAGATCTTCAAAAGCTGCGGGAGAGGAGGGACAGTCAGAGGTGACCCTGGCCTGGCCTGGGTGACCCCACCTATTCCAACTCCAGGCCTGGGGTGCCTCTCTTTACCACTTGCTGTCCCCACCCTTTCCCAGGCCCCCTTGCGTTGTTGGAGCATCTAGGCAGCCACAGGGTGGTGTGAGCCTCTCTCCCAGGAGAGGCCCCTTCTCCTCTGGGCCTCAGTCTTGCTGTCTGTGGAATGGGTTGCAGAGAGCTGGGGGTGGGGGAAGGGGGCTTTTCAGGTCAGGGGGCTGCTTACTGCGGAGCAGCAAGTTGGCATCAACGTCCTTCACCATCTGGGACACAGCCTGGGGATGGTAGCAGGTGGTATAACCTGGGAGACAGACAAGGGAGTAGCTGGCCAGTGGGTGTATCCCTGCCTCCTGGGGGTCTAAACCCTACTCTGCTCGTCCTTAGCCCAAGGGCCTCCCTCACACTCCTCCTTTTTTCTCCTGCCTATGAATGGGTAGGGGTGGGTGAGGGTCAGGAGTGCTCAGGTGGGGCAGGCCTGGGGGTCTCCTTGCAGGCTGCCCTCTCCCACCTATGAAGAGCGCTGCCCACATCTTGATGTGATGGTGGCGGCTGTGCAGGTAGCTGATGGCCTGTGACAGGTGGATGCTAAACTCCTCCTGGCTGTGCGTCATCTGGATGGACGAGGGCACACCCATTACTGGCTGGAGCCAGAGGCTATCTCTGGAGAGACCACTGGCCTGCCCCCTGGCCCTGCCTCCCTACCACAGCCCAGCGGCCCCACACCCCAGACCTCACCAGGCAGGTCCAGAGGAAGTGGCGGGCACTGAGGCCCCTTTCCCAGGCAAGTGTGCAGAAGAGGGTGTGTGGTAGCTGCCAGCGCAGGAGCAGGGCACAGCGATAGAAGGCATACTTGGCCTGCTGTGGGGACAGCCACAGGAGGGAGTCACCCAACACTCCACATCTCCAAGCCTGCCCCCCAGGGACCACAAGGCTGTGGGGTTATCAGGGGGCAGCCTACTGTGCCAGTGTTTTCCCCGCTGCCCCACTTGGGGACCCTTCCCTGCCACCCTGGCTGCAGCATCCAGCGCCTCGGGCTGGCCTGCAAGTGGTCCTCTCTGTTTGCTGGCAGGGAGTTGAGCTGTGTCTGATGGTCTGTACAGCAGTATGTGCTGGCTTGTGGTAGGCAGGGCCCAACCCATACTCCCAACAAGTTCAGTGGATAACCTGAGCCCCTGCTCCACGCCAGGCCCTGCCATGCAGCAGCAAGCAGAATAGACCGGGTCCTGCCTACACGGACAGTGCAACCTTGCTTGTGTACATGTGTGTACATATGTGTACATATGTGTGTGCATGTGCACCCACAGGGAGGGAGCAGATCAATCATGGTTAGGGAAGTCAGGGCTGGGGACCAGACTCTGCCTGCCCATCTGCTGCCCTGTGGAGCACGTGGCATGTTCAGGCAGCCCTATGCCATCTGCCTCCCTAGTCCTTGGCCACTTGTGGGCCTCAGCCCTGGCCAAGGTGAAGACCTGCCAGCCCATCTTGCCTGCAGGTGGCCACTGACCGTGGCGACAGCTGGGCATTCGTCCTTCAGGTGCAGGAGCAAAGGCACCATGCTCTGGTGCACCTGGGTTTGCAGGCTGCTCGGCTCCCTGTCTGCCATCACTGCCACCAGGTCCCCGAACAGGGCCATGGCTGCCGCCCGAATTGCGTCCCGCTCCTGCAAGGTGAGGGCTCAGAGTTGTAGCCAGACTGGCTTGGGGGTCCCAGCTTTCTCCCATGTTGGGACTCCACACCCATGGGGCTCCCCGTCAGTAGGAGCTGGCAGAGCCAGGCTCCAGGTCTCTTCAAGTACATGAAATAATTTCCTTCATATTCCACATTCACATCCTGACACCCAAATGTCATGAATGCAGGTGAGGCTTGAACTTATCCCTGATTTCCCAGTGAAGGAAAGAAATTTTAAACACAATACCATGTCATAAAGAAATCTGGGTGGTCAGTTGTAGGATCAGAGACAAGGGGTGCTGGAGAGTGACGCTGACACAGTTAGAAGGGGTGGAGGCCCCATCTAATCCCAGGAAGACCCCAAAAGGCTCAGAGAGGGCCCACCTCTACTGAGGCACACACCCAGGCACTGCAGGGAGACCGCTGGAGGTGGTAGTGGGCTCCCTGTGGTGGAGGAAAGGGGTACAGGGGGCATAGGCAGGATGTAAGCAGGAGGGCCCCTCCCTGGGTGTGCTCACGTCGTCGAAGAATGAGCGGGCGTTGATGGCGACCCCCAGGGTCTGGGCACCTGCGCCCTGCATGCCCAGGCGGTGCAGCACATCTGACACGGTGCCCATGATGCGCACGACCATCAGCTCGCTGTTCTGGAAGAATCCATCAAGGAAGGCTGGCAGCTGCCCACGGAGCAGGCTTCCCTGGGGGGAAGTAGGGGCTGGTGGGTGGTGGTGCCAGAACCTGCCACCCCTGTTCTGCCCCCCTGCTCCATCTCTAACATGCCCTTGTCCTCCCTCTAGCCCTGCTCTGCCCACCATGGGGCTCTGTGCTTCTAGCCAGGCTCTGCTCCCCAACAACCATGTGGCCTGGATAGGACTTTTCCTCTTTGAGCCCTTTGGGGTCTTCCTGGGTTGAGATAAAGATAGTTGCACAAAAAGCCTCAGTACTAGTTGGGTACCAGCTCCTTCTTCCACTGAGTCTTGGGCTCACCCTGCCCCTTCTCCACCCCAGTGTGCCCTCCCTCACACCCAGCCCAGCTAGGGCAGGTGGAGTTTGGGGAACTAGACCAGACAATGTTAGGATGGTACGCACAGAAGTCACTGGTTTCTCCCAGGCAGGGATTTTGTGTGCACCAGGTGGTGGCTCCAGACCTTTTATGTTCCAAATAACCTTTATGTTCCATTTTTACACTTTCTTCTTTTTAAAAAAAATTTTGAATTCATTTTTAACAATTATTACTGCCTCACTTGTTGGCAGTGCAGCCCTACATTTGCTGGGTGAATTGTCAGAAAGCCATGTCTTGTTGGTAAGTGGGTGCTTCCTGCCGTCGGGCCCCTTGTCAGTGGCTTGTGTGCAGACCTAGGTGATATTTACAGCTTTTAAACAAGTTTAAGCTCTGTTTGGTTTTCAAATATTAAATTCATTCTTAGCAAGCGAGTCATTCATCAGCAACACACAATTCCTAAGCATCTGTGGTGCAGAGACTGGGGGTCCTGCCCCAGGACAACAGGACAGGCAGAACAGAATTCTAATGGAATGGCCACAAAAGAACCTGGAAGGGCACAATGTAGTGTGTATCTGCTGGCATGGGGCAGGGTGGTTTGCTCCAGCCCTGCCTGGGACACTTGTTTATTCCCACACCAGCAGACAGG